CATACTTAGTGGAAACCTCATAGAAAGCGGCTCTGAAGAAGGCGAAATTCGCCGAAACGTCAGCTTAATCGTGAACAAAGAATAGTAACACCTCGCGTTTGCTCAACAAAAATTCGAAGAAAGTCAATTGATCTTACAGTTCGTCGAAGTTCTCTTGTCTTTTCCACAAGGGTCGGTTGTCCTTCCAAAAACGTTCTGCCACCTAAGCCTTCTCTCATATCGGTTTTTCATAGGACGACATAAAAAGGATTAAGCTCTCGGCATGTCACGTAGAGACCAACCGCACAGAAATCACATGGAAGTATAATGTATACATTATTGGTCTCTACGTGACATACTTAGTGGAAACCTCATAGAAAGCGGCTCTGAGGAAGGCGAAATCCACCGAAACGTCAGCTTATTCGTGAATAAAGAACAATAACACCCCGCGTTTGCTCAACAAAAATACGAAGAATTACTTGATCAATGCCGAGGTTAATAGAAAGTCGGTTATGGGAGTTAAGCTCTCGGCGTTCATCAATCCCTTAGGGTGCGCCTCGCATTCGACTTCACTAAGTATCGTTTGGAGGGCATTGAATACATATTTAGCCTTGATAATGACCCCCGGTGGCCTACCGATGTATCGAGCCAGTGCTGCTATTCTCCCAGACAAGTCTGGTACCAATATGCCAACCCCGGAGGGATGGAAGGTTCGGTGGGCCAGGCGCCCAGGATCGATCCCATGAGTGTGTTGCAGGCCACCTCCTACCACTGCGCTACAAGGGTTCTAAAACGACGGTACATTGCTGCCCAATAAACGCAAGTTAACACGTTCGATCACACTCAAAGTCAACCGAACCTTCTGATGTACCAAGGCTGACCAACTGTTGCCGAAGTTATTTGAGAGAAGCTTATTCTGATATACAAAGCCTGGTGACTTTCTCTGTTGCTAAGAAGCGTTGACGACGTGCTACAGCTACTCCAGAGCTCTACCACTCTACCGAAGACGACCTTCGTGTTTAAATCACTATTGGACAGCTAGAAACACTTGCTAGCCTAGCCACCACGAATTAACAATTACATCAAAAGGTGTCCTTACAAGTCTTCATTTGTGGAAGGGTATGCATGCTTGCTTGATCACTCACAGTTATTGTTTGGAATAATGGCTCATTACTCTGACGAATATGGAAATCAATTGCGTTTTTTTTCGATTCCAATCTAGCCTTTGGTTTTAGCGCGGCGAGAAAGTGTTACTTCGTTAGTGGAACTGCGATGTGGAAGCATGGGCTCATTCTCCAGAGAGGATAGTAGAATAGAGGATAAAGCGTCCATCGCTGATTGATCTGTGATAGATGGCCACTGCATTCATCAGTGCATAACCGGTAATGATCTACTGATGTATTAATCTAGTGTTTCGTGCAATACTACACACTTTAAACCTCTAAAAATTATCTTCTTTTCAAGATCGAGGCAGTTCACATAACGGAACATCGATTGTCTGGTCGCATTAGAAGATAAGTCGAAGATGAGGTCATGTTTTCAATAACTTTTAATAAGATTTAATAAGTTTTAATACGGTCATTTTTTCCCACCTTTCGTTTCCAACGAAATAAGGGCAGCTACAAAAAGTTGCTTAAGAAGGCTCGATCTAGAGAATTTGTTAATAGTGATTGAAATTCCACCGAATACTCTACGACGCCTGCTGATTGGTAATCATCTGTTTGAGCAGTTATGCGCAACGTTAATTTGCATAACATGCCCGAAAGTGATTGCATGAGTTAGGGAGTGGCTCAACTGTCCTCTTGTAACACGTGCAGAAAGAATGGTCAGCGAAACGAGTATACTACTATGTGCTCGCATAAAAGAACACTTAGGCGGTAAGCGTAATGCTTAATAAAAGTACTCCGCTGAGTGTGCATGGGACACAGAAACATAAGGAGAAAGATTTTAAAGTAGAAGTTACCATGCTTCCACAGAAATTGTAAGTTTCGATGTGTAGAACTCTCGAAGCAGTCCGGATAAATTCCAACACTCCATAAAATAAATGAGTGAAGGAATGCCTTGTTATCACATGCCATACAATATGTTAGACCGATATTTTGCACGAGTGTAACTCATTACACATCTACGTGAGCTCTTTACGATTTGTCCCCACGTGAAATACTCAGTGGAAGACTCAGTGGAAAGCGGCAAGCTTAAAGACAGGCACGGACACTTGCCCACAAAAGCAGATGAACCGCAAACCCCTGACCCTTTAGGCTTTCCCTCTAAATGTAACTATAGGGATGTGTGGGCGCATTTCATATCTACAATTACCTGTGTGTATTATGCGCTTGTGCGTGGAGCGTGTGGCGCAGTGGTCGGAGGCGCCCTGCAATACACACGTAGGATCGATTCCAGCGCCCGTGGCTCACCAAGCTTTTCATCCCTCCAGGCTCGGCAAATTGATACCAGACTTGCTATTATAAAGGCCAAATATGCTTTCAATCACATCTAACGACGCTTAATGAAGTCGAATGCATGGCGCATTCCTCAGGGATTGGTCAAACCCGAGATCTTTATCCTTAATCCTTTTTATCCTTTATTATGCGCTTCTGTACGTGCACGAGACTAGCGTCCACATCTTTACACATATGTGCCTATGTGTATGGGTGGGTAGGTGTGTGTTATTACAGACTACCATGCATTTCTATAATCACCACAACAAGTCATGATTTGATTTCTGCACAGAAATATTCGGAATGATTACACAAGTATTGGTAAAACAGTTTATTGGAAGTCGAACACCAACCACTACAAGCAGAACCCGCATGATTTCGGACAAAGCTTTCTTCTGACATTTCCGTTATATGTAGGTGTGCATGGTTTCACTTTTAGTAGCGCTTTACATCTAAAAGATAATAATTTCATAATCCCTAGTAAATGAATGAGAGCAAAATGTTGTAAAAAAAAGGAAAACTTGCAGAAAATTGTCTGTGCATTTGGTTTTCGGATCAGAAGAGGCTATAAGTTCGAATTTAGTGACATAATGGCATATAAAAACTACAACGATAGATTTAAACGTTACCGATTCGATAACTTAGGATTGTTGTTCTCCTATCCAATCTGCCATATGTGATCACAGGTACGATGTTAAACGTGGAGTTCAAAGCAGTTCCCGCAAGTCGGTCATCACAAAATCTGAATCATATTTTCGTATTTACGATATCTTTGACTGCTATGAGGGCTGCAACTTCATTTACTGTTCTGTAACACATGTGGTTATTAGTTGGATCCGACCTCATGAGAAAGTGAAGCCCTTTAACCTTTCAGAGGTCCACAAATTCCAAGCAAACTTATTTGGGAGGGTGAAAAACGACTGGCTCAATATATCAATAGGTTACCGTAAGTCGCTGCAAAGGCGAAACATGCATTTAATTACAATTTGGATGATATGAATGGAGGCGAAATCATGGCGCATCTCTCAAGGAATGATCAACATCTAAAACATTTAATTATTACTCGTACTCTTGCCTGTAACCAGTAGAGCGTTTATCGTTCCCAGTTTTAATCTCAACTCCCGAATCTTGACAACCATCAGAATACCCGTGTTTAGTATAGTCGTCGAATCTCACTTCAATCGTTGAACCGGTTGGTGCCTTCAAAAGAACAGACTCTGGTTAGAAAAGCTTTGCTAAAATCAGTTTACATAACAAATTAACAAGTAGACCTTTATCCAATAGTAACACCAAATAAATTCATCGTTATTGCGACCAGGCTTATATTCCGGCTGACCAACTTTATCGGTAAGTGTTTGGAATGACGTTTTAGCTCTCAGCACCTCACCGCAGCCATTTGGCTGGAAAATGAATCTCTTAAAACCCGTGTGAATTTTGTTTTGTCAAGTGCTTTTAAATCTATATTCAACTCTTTCAATGCAACGCTTTCCACCATATCCACTCGGGCAAACACACTTCGAGCAGTCTCTTGGATGTGGAAATCCGCCATTTTGACAGTTTGCAGATTTCTTCTTTTTGCACTTCTCTAGAACGAGCTCTTCTTTACAAGAAAGAGCAATAGAAACCATGTAGATGGCGACGAGTCGAAAACGTATCTAAGTGGCAGATATTTTTCTCACCGAGACATCCATAGTGGTGATTTATCATAAGTTTATCGTAGAATGAGATGATCGACGATCCAAGAGTTTCTAAGTAGTTCACGTCGTACGGTATAACGGAAGGTTCATGCGATATTGAAGCACTGTGGTTAAAGTAGCTAACAGTTCTTTGTGGTTTCAATAAAACGTTCAGAAAGTCAACCTTCTTGCTGAGTAATGCATGATGCTACCGTATTCGTAAGGTAAATTGTAGTTGTTGACGACGTCTTCACCTCGTACTCTGAATTGCGGCACAAAATCCTTCTGAAATCACTATAATCTACTTTAATGATCAATACTGAGTACTTCTCTAATCTGCTCACTCTAATGTTTTCCACTATGACTCTGACGTACTCATCACGATCAGGTCTTGACTGCGTGTGGAGGAGACCCAATGTATGACCGATCTCATGTGCGACGTATCCAATCTGTGCAAAATACAAACGTAGATTTTACCTATCCTTAATCCAACTGCACTTAATTGATTGAAAAACCTGATAAAAGATCTTTAAGATTGTACCGCTTTGATAATCATACCGATTCGCATAGTTGACCAAGATAAATTTTCTGTTTTCCTCCTACTTTTCCAACATGTGAAACACATCCAAGCGACTCGTGAACGACAACTCTATCCGATGCTTGAAATATATTGCTGTTCTACGTAGAGCTCTACTTTTTAGATATCAATCCGTTTTTGTTATACCTTTGTCATCCTCCTTAAATTCAACACAGGTATCTCCACTCCAAGCATCCGACGCTTTTTTGAAAAGTCTCTTCGTTATATCAGCTGGAATTACCTTATGGCATCAAAACTGTTACGTTGTCTGCTCGACTGTGAGAAAAACGAAAGGCTAAAAAACGAACTTGCACTTGAATCAAACGAATAGTAAACTACTCCATTCGGCCATAATCTTGTAGCATTGCGATGAGCTTGTCGTTTTGTACGTTTAGCTTCATCGTGTTTCAAATCGTCCATAACCCGATGCGCCTGTTCTCTAAAAACATCTACATCGTGCTGAAAAATAAAGCTATGAGGAAATGACTAAATGTTCAAAAGGGTCAAACTTTGTGAGAATCATGTCGCCTTCGAACAGAACCATGTTAACTTTGTTCTCCTCATTGACTTCTTCGATTGTTCGGCCATCTACTGGCTTAGTGTGATTCCTTCCTACGAACTTTGTATGGTTCTGAAGAAAAACACGACCACATTGCTTGACAGATCCACGTAGCAAGTCAATCTAATGTGCTTACCCTAATCACATCCAAAAAAACTGCGTTCTCCTCTGGTGATGAAAGAAGCTGCTCGACAATTTTTTCTTCCATATTGTGTAACTCCGTGACTACCGCTATTGTTTCGTTGATGTTCGATCCCTACGAAAGTAAACGATTGCGAAAAATTTAGTTCGGTTATACTTCTTGTTGAATGGAGAGGAGAGTTTCATACATTCTTAAGCATCTTATAGCCTTCCTCTATTTTTTTTGCAAAGGTGTCATCACTAGCGGACCGTGCAGTTCTTGGATTCGACAGGACATTGGAGATCATGGCATTGATGCAGACCATTAAAAAAGTGAAACGTAGAATGCTCATCTGAAATGTAAAGAAAAAAGACACTGATTCAAAGAAAAAATGATGGTCTGAACTGGGTGGTAAATTTCGGTGAAAGGAATTCCACCTGAAAAATGAAAGTAGTGAACGTTGGGTTCTGTCGGTTCACACAGCTTAAGTACCCAGGGTAGGTTTCGCCGTTCCTTGTTTGCTTCGTTGACAGAAATTCAATCATAACCGTGACGTTGTTCATGCACTTCCTTTAGAATTATACGCTCACTGTTAATAAAAATATTTGTGAGCTATGAAATAAGCTCAATTATCCACGACCATGTCATGTTTATCCGATCGACGATTCGTGAGTATAAGCAATCGTTGAACACCAGGGCGCGTCTCTGTAATACCAAGGCGGAAGTGACGCTCGATTTAGGACAAAATTCTTGTTTTATAGAAAACAAAAAAACAGTTGGGATTACGCTAAACGGAAATCAACGTCATAATATTTGCCTATTTCATGAAAGTTAAGGACGCGTGTGCACAGTGGTTGGAGGCGCCCTGCAACACACGTGGAATTGATTTCCGAGCCCATGGCCCACCACCTTCCATCTCTCCGGATCAGCAAATCGGTACCAGACTTGTCTGGAAGGATAGCAGCACTGGCTCGATGCATCGGTAAGCCACCGCGAGTCATTGTAAAGGTCAGATATGCATTCAATCACCTCCAAACAATGCTTAATGAAGTCGAATGCATAGCACATCCCTCCCCAATTAATCGACGCCAAAAGCTTTACCCTCTTATCCGTGATATTTGTCTACTGACGTACGATTACCAAGTAGGCGTTGTAACGATGATCTTTGTTTTGTGGTTTGTTAAAAGCGTAATGGGACTAGTGCTTATAGGTCGAATTATAGCAGTTCGTAGTAAAACAAACAATCGAGGAGTTCTATTCATTGCATAGGATCAGTAACGACTTGAGACAATGAAGTCCGAATTTCGTTTCAATCCATAAACACCGTCGCTAAAACATCGTGAAGTTTTCAGAACATGCTGGCACTATTTTGGGACTCTAAGGAAGAAATCACGCATCGCCAGGTGGGTACCAATGAAGTGGAAATCGTCTACGCGCTCACGTTTTTCGTCTAGCTGGGCGAGAATAGGCGAAGGTAATTTACTAATAATTTTCACGTGATTTCTGTGCGGTTGGTCTCTATGTGACATACTTAGTGGAGATCTCATAGAAAGCGGTGAGTGTGCAAAGCTGTGTTCAAAGTGATTGAAATCTTGGTTTGGGGTTTCTTTGTTTGGTTATGGAGCGTATGGCCGGGTGAGTTGCTATCAACTTGACCTTTCCAGGCTCTGAAGAAGGCGAAATTCGCCGAAACGTCAGCTTAATCGTGAACAAGGAACAATAACACCTCGCGTTTGCTCAAAAAATACGAACAAAATCACTTGATCAATGCCGAGGTTAATAGAAAGTCGGTCGTGGCAGTTACTGAAGGTAATTTACTGTTATTTTTCGATAAGCACACACAAGGTTGATATTATAGAATTGATTAGCATGCAATACCTGACGCTTCTGCGGCTCTGCTTACTTCAGAGCCTGGAAGGATCAAATTGACATGCGATCTACTCAGCGAAACACTTTGATAACCTTAGCAGATAAGACTAAGCACATAAATTTGCATTCGGGTAATAAATAGCTTTATTTAAACATCCACCATTTTATTTTTTGCAAGTATGCCAATCAGTTTGTGGAGAGCAGCCGCACAGAGTTAATACACGGGAGAGGACTGTACCCGGCTCAGGTATTGAATCATCCTGAGGTATGGCGCGAGGTCACGCCTGATAACAAGACAGTCGTCTTTGTGGTTCATTTTGGGATTTCTGGAATGATACCTGGGATTCCTGTGCGCTACTTCAAAATCTTCTCCGCTGTCTTTCTGCGTCCAATGCGCACCTAGTGCAGTGTTTGGTTTCAGTTTGGATTTAACAACTTGCAACGAGTAAATGGTGGGTGTTTAAAAGAAGCTGTTTATTATGCGAGTCCAAATTTATGTATTGGATTTTACATGCTAGGGTTATGAAAGTGTTTGGCTGAATAGATCGCATCTCAACTTGACCTCTCTAGGCGCTGAAGAAGGCGAAACCACCGAAATGTCAGCGATTGCATCCTAATAAGTTCTATAATATCATCCTCATGTTTGCTTATCGAAGAAAAACAGTGAATTATCAAGTAATGCTGAGGCTAATAAGAATTCGGTCTCGAGAATTGCTAGGTGAAGGTATTGAGCAACGTTATGTTGAGAAGCGAAGGTGAGCCGATGGCAGATCCGATGTTGAGTTAAACATGAGTGTTTTTTTCTGAACTCAAAATAGAAAAATTCACCGTGTCGAACGCAGGGCAAAAGCAAACTAAATAATAAAAACTGGACACTATTTCTCTAAAAATGGTTATAACACTTTATATAATGAGATAAAAGCTAAAAGCTCTAAAAGGATAAAGCTCTCAGCCTCGAGCATTCCTTGAGGGATGCACCGTGCATTCGACTTCATTAAGAATCTTTTGGAGGTGATTGAATGCATATCGGACCTTTAAAATCACTCGCGTTGGCCTACCGATGTATCTAGGCAGTGCTGCTATCCTAACAGACAACTCTGGTACCAATTTGCGACCCCGCAGGGATGGAAGACTTGGCGGACCATGGGTGCTGGGATCGATTCCACGTGTGTGTCGCAGTGGCGTCTCCAACCCCATGGAATAATAAAGTGTGGGTTTTTGCTTCAGAACAACAACACCGTGTAAGACACAATGACGACGTTTCTGGAGCAACAGCTGAACAGTTCATTCTCAGAACTGCTCATTAAAGAATATGATTCCACAAATAGTGGTCTACTACGTCCATGCAACTCGTCCACTCATTGTCTTACCATAGCTTTTGTTTCCTGGCTCATCTGTCAGCTCTGCTACTTCCAAATTATCTCACAGCAACGCCTAGAAAACTTTCTACTGGAACGTACAACTTTTCATCTTTTCCTGGCTAATCTGTGCTCCCAGATCATTCCCGTTGACGGGTGATCGCTGATGACACCGTAGGGTAAAAACTGGCTGAGACTCCACTAGAAAATTTTGTTTTTTCGGAAGATGCTACATTTCTGTACCGCGGAGAACGAAGTGTCACATATAGGACGCTGGCTATTTATATGCTGATAAAAGGTGTCTTTTTTGCCAATCTTCTCTGCTAGCAAGGATGATTCGTTGGTAATTCGTGAAGTCGGTTACTAGAATCAAAATCTTTTAAGGGCTTCCGGCTAAATGCTCTGACCAAAATGGGAATAACTTGCGCCTTTAGTCGATCTCGTTCCGGCTTAATGGGCTTACCGTAGCAAAGAAAAGATGCTCCTTCATAATTGGAATTAAGATGTGAAAGCACTGATCATTCTCCATAAAGAATAAAAGAATGTAGGATTAAGCATACAATGTTGATCAGACCCTTAGGTACGCACCATGGATTTCACTTCATTCGTGGCATCGCAGATATGACGGAAATCATTTTTTTCAGACAACGGCATTTGCGAGTCACGCTAAGTGTCAATTCCAATTTACCAATTCCGGAAACATGGGTGAAGTTTATTTAGACTAGCACGTATGATCGAACCGAAAGCCAACATAGGGGGTTTTTGTCATTTTACTGAGCTCGCGTCTTCCTCCAGCCAAGACTGATTAATTCTAATGAAGTTTGAGGTTTCTCAAGCTCTTCGGCATCGAAAAATGAAGTCATGATATCCTGACGTGAAACCAGTCTCCAGGTGGCAGGCGACTCGTGAACTTAGGGGGACTCTCCGGTGCAAATTTGGAAACACTCGGCCATGGTTATCTCAGAGTGATCGTGATAAGAGCTTACTCAAACAACTTAATAGTAGTCTGATTAAAATTGTAATAAGGCCTAAACCAATAAGGAAAACAAAATTGCCTACTTTGCTTCCAATTAAGCACGTTCTACGTTTTGGAAAGAATTGAAATGGCATTGGCTTGCAGTTCTGGAATGTCATGATGTCAGAACTATTGACCGTATGATCTCTACAAAGACTGTGACACTTTGCTCGCCAAAATGCATTTTTGAGCAAAATATTCATTCATGGAATGTGTTTTAGAGTGTTAAACTATCATAAACAGCGACGTTCCTTTCCCGGCAGTATCATCTTTGTTCAGGATGAGGAGACGCTCAACGGTTTCATCCGAAATTGCGGTTGAAATTGGGAGTTTAATAGGAATGACTTGAGTTCCTCGATGCTTCATGGCATTTGAGATCTTCCAAGTGATTTTTTTGACTCTTCAAGAATAGTGACTTAATAGAAATGAATTTTACACAGAGAATAGAGCGTGCATTGATTACCGCAAAGGGCAAAAGATAAAGCATTCGATGCTTATGTATCCCTTAAGGGTGCTTTTTGCATTTCGATCCCACTAAGGAACGCAACGACAACCGAATGCTTAATCGGCCCATACCTGGCCTAGGTAGTAGCCTACCGATATATTAGGTGAGCGTTCTAATTATTTATATGATCTTGCAAACTGATCTTCTTTAGCTGATACGAGGTTGGTATAGGTCCTCGTTATCGTTCGTTGTTAAGCGTTGTTACTTCTCTGAATAAGCCTGATGCCTATCTGAGGATCCTGAAATAATGGAGAGCTTGGAAAGCTGATAATGTGCTATCGTACCAAAAGCTTCGTGTGTGTTGCAGTGCACCTCTAACCACTGTGCTACACGCACTGAAAGAATATTGAACTATAAAGTTTAACACTGCATAGATGCCTTTTTCCTAAACCGAAATTTCACAAGTCGTTATCCTAAGAACATAAGAGAGCAAACGACGTTGAAACTGGAGAGTTAAAAGGGAATATGGATGACCCCGCTGAAGAAGAAACTCATAGTGACGGACGCTCAATAGAGCTTAGCATGTCAATTTGGAACTGTCAGAAAATCTTCCTGAAAAAATCTCGACTATCTTCATTGATTTTTTTCCAAATATTTCTTCTATC